GGGCCACCACACCGGGCTGTTTCGGGGGGGTTGAAGATGAACTGTGAACGTGGGCTGAGGGAGACCCTGGCTGGGATGCAGGCAGGGCAGCTGACAAACCCAATGCAGCTGCCAAGCACCAAGTAACGCCACAGGATGGAGAACTCGCCAGGCACACGTGTGGACCCTGAATGGAAGGGCTGCAGCATGTCTGTGAAGCCATGAAATCTCTATAGGCTGACGTAAAAGCTAAATGAACACTCAGAGAACTGCTAGACCACTGCATGGCGGTGGGAGACAATCTGTTCTGAAGCCTCTGATGTCTGAGTCTTCAGGAGCCCTAGCGAGCTCATTCCCACGGAGGTGTCAATCACAGGAGCAGGGCACAAAGTTGCCCCGAGAGGTAGGCTAGCGAGCAGGGAACCCCACGGAAACACTGTCGTCAGTCTACTTCAGTTTCTGAGACAGTTTCATGTAATTCATGCTGCCCTACACTGAACTTACAAAAGAGGTTAGGATAACCTTAGACTTGTGATTCTCCTGCCTCCGTGCTGGGGCAACAGCACCACCCACCCAGCAAGTCTGAAGAAATGATCTGATACATCCATTTGTACGTCCACTGAGCAAATATTGATGAAATTGTTACCCCATAGCAGACAGTGGGGTAGACATCTGGAGAATGATTAGTGCCCAGAAGAACCCAGGGCGACCAAGCACATTCATGCATCCATGGGGACACATCCTGAGACATATGCCATTAGAGTCTGTCTTTTCCCAAGAAACCTTACAGCAGAAGCTCCGTCAGGGCGGTGTCACTAGGTCCATCTTTGAACACACTGCCGTGGTCCATGTGGCCCCTTGTTGACTGAACACTGTTCTGCGTGTCCAGCTGTGGTCGTAATGCTGTGCAGGTCGTCGCTAGAACACTGCCTGGCACACAGGAGACCTTGGGTCCAATCCCCACCACTGCATGAGGTAGTCCCGGTACTGCACGCCTGTCACCCCAGCACGCAGCTCAGGAGGATCACAAGTTTAAAGTTATCCTTAGCCTCACTCCAAGTTTGTGGGTGGCCCTGAGCTACATGAGACCCTGTCTCAAAAGAGAAGAGAGGGCAGGAGGCTGGGGTGGCAAGACAGGCTTGTGATCTCAGCAATGGGAGGCTGAGGTAAGGAAAGTGGTCAATTCTAGGTCTACCTAGACTACACAGACCTAGACTGTGAGGTCAGAGCAAGATGAGTCAGGGCACATCGGATGCAGGGTCCTTGTGTAAATTAGTGTGCGGGTCTCGGGAGAGGTGAATGGGCTGTGCCGGCAGAACAGCGTGAAGGATGGAGACATGGCCTACAGGCAGCCAGCTGGGACCACTGGGATAGGCAGACGGTGAGAGACAGAGCCTCCTAGAAGAAGCAGGGAACCAGGGAGAGGTTCCCTTAGGAGGGAACAGGGGCCATTAGCCAACCTGGGGCCTGTATGGGGGTGCAGCTGGCTGAGCAGGCTTCCACTGGCTGGTCAGAGGTGAAGCCGACTGTCACTGTGGGGTTTGCAGGGGAGAAGCACTACCTGGAGACCTTTGTTACTGCCTGGCTCATACTGTCTGTGACTGCTGCTGGGTTCAGAGCAGGAGAACCAACCTTGACAATGAGGCACTTCCCTTCTAGCAGACCCCACAAACAAGAAGAAAAATACAGAGAAGTACAGATCCAGGCGGCTGGCGCCACCTCAGGAGACCTAGCTCTCCCCGGGGCTGGCAGCCCTGCCTGAGCTCCTGGCACTGAGCCACAGGGCATGTAGCTGGCCCACCTGTCGGCTTCCCCAAGCCTCCTGTCTCTCAAGTACAACTCATATCCACAAGTCCTTCTATATTCTCTTGGCCTGCCGCCTAAAGCCCACAGACAATGAAGGCTCCCGGACCCCTGGCTGGCTGGGTGGCTGTCAATAAACGAGACGCTATTGACCAGGCCTTTCCTGGAAGCCTCAGGCAAGGATTACCTCATCTAAGCAGTAGCCAGACTGCATGGCCATGGTGGAATGCCCTAGCCCAGCTTCCTCACTCAGGTCTGTCAGTCCACAGCATGTCTAGCATGCTGAGGTGGGAGTGACCTACCTGGAATGGAGGTGTGTTCTGGTTGACTTTGATACAGAAAACTTTTTTTTTTTGAGACAGACTCTCCAGTAGAGCACGCTGGCCTGGAACTTCACATGCCTCTACCTCCTGAATGCTGGGGTTACACTGCACGCACCATAGCGCCCGAATCTATGTGGCTACACACTGAACCCAGGGCTTTAGGCTACGCAGGCTATATCAACTAGGCTACATTCTCAACTCCAAAATAATAAAGCTTATTTAAACTATCGTCACTGTGAACTTTAATACTCTAGCTTGGTGGTTCCCTACCTTCCTAGTGCTGTGACCCTTTAATACAGTTCCTCATGTTGTGGTGACTCCAACCATAAAATTATTTTGTTGCTACTTCCTAACTGTAATTTTGCTGCTGTTGTCAATTGTAATGTAAATACGTGACGCCACAGGGTGGTGACCCACAAGCTGCTGCCCAAGTTTGGAAGACCGAGACAGGAGGATTGTGGTGAGTTAAGAGACTAACTTGGCTACACAGTGAATTTGAGGTCACCCTTAGATAGATAATACAACCCAGCCTCAAAACACAAACATGGGCCGGTGAGATGGCTCAGTGGGTAAAGGCACTTCTAGGACCTGAGTTTGATCCCTGAGACCCACAAGGTAAAAGAAGAGAACAGACTATGACAAATTATTCTCTGACAGGCACACATAGATAGATAAGACAGATAGATAGATAGAAGATAAAGGTGAAAATAAGATTCTCTAGCCCAATATGATTTTGAAAACTATTGGTACAGAAAATATAAGGTGTTTATATATTAAAAACATGAGACTTTAATGAGGAAAATAATTATGTGTTCTATGAAAAACTAAATCAGAAAATAATTTCAGATTAAGAATCTAACAACTTGCTAACTAATTACTGGAAAAACTAAGTAAATTATTAAGTAAAAACTGGAAAACTTTACTAGGGGAAATCCTGGTACAACCTTGACTCTGCACAGAATGGAAGTTTTAGTTTGAAACATCACTGAGGTCAAAATGAAGATGGGTCTTTGGTGAACACAAAGCAGATAGTCCCCCAGCTCGACAGAGGCCAACTCTCATGTGGAGTCGTCCAGTGGTGGCCGAGCAGAGCCCTGTGGGCAGGAGGAGCCCTGAGAACACTTGGGAATGGGTGATGTGCTTCCCATAAACTCTGCGTCCTAGAGTCAGGGTACACATCGCATGGCTCAGAGAAAAAACTCTCCGGTGCCTTACACATTGGAGCGCCAACTGCACAACATGTACGAGGTTTAACCCCACCCCTGAAAACTAACAACCAGAAAACGTAGGCACTATCCATCAGATGGCTGGCACGTGAGGGGAAACCAGCTGGGCAGCTTCGGTCAACAGGAAAAACCCAGAGCAACAATGGGAAGAGGAGTCACCCCCTGGGCAACTGTACGGGGCAGATTCTTGAACAGTGACTGACGGGAGGGCCTAGCCCACGGTCAGTAGAGCCACCTCTGAGCAGGTGGTCTGGGCTGTGCCGGAGAGGAGGCTGAACAAGCCATGGAGAGTAAGCCAGTAAGCAGTCTCCCTCCATGGCCTCTGCTTTAGTTCCTGTTTCCAGGTCCCTGACTCCTCTCAATGATATACCATGATCAACATATGCAAGTCAAATAAATTATTTCTTGTCTCGAGTTGTTTTGGCCACTCTTTTATTCAGCAACAGAGAAGCAAACCAGGACATGCAGTGTACCCTGAACACCAAATAATCCATTTATAGTACAGGGGCCTCCTTGTCGGGCTTGGGCACAGTCTTCAGAAAACCCCTGGCCACATACAAACTCTTTACAGAAAATCCTAAGGTCAGAATTTAGAACCTAGAGCATGATAAACAACTAAAGTAATAAAATATTGGCTCACTCCAGCACTGGGTCATTCCCACATCCAACATCCATCCAACCGATTTTACAGAACAGAAAATTGAGCTCAAAGGGAAAAGCAGTACCACTGACCCTCACTCGAGCCCACGGTGGAGACCACACTTCTCTATTCTCCGCTCAGGGAGTTCCTCGTGTGGTTCAGCTCTAAGACAAGAGCAGGGCCTATGGCAGCCCGGTCTGCGTGGCTGTCAACAAACACAGTGCCACAGAGCAGACCCTTCTCAGAAAGAATGAGAACACCCCACAGGCACAGAAGAGAAGTTTCTGTGTTGTTTGCCAAGGCATGTCTACTATGGTGATGTCCCCACAGGGCACATATGTGACTGCAGTGGGGGTGGGGAGCCTTGTGGTTTCCTTGTCAGCAGGGGAGGATGGCTACGTGGCTTTTCCTGCAGGACTGAGCTAGGATCCATGTGATCATGTCCATCTGTCCTGACAGGGTCTCAACCACATGGAAGTTGAGGAATGAGAACCCACCACTGTCCGACAGGGCAGATGTCATGTCCTTGGGGAATTCCTGATGGTGCATTCCTTTAAAAGAAGATGCCACTCACATACGCAGTCACAGTGGAAGGGACTGTCAGCTTCAACCCTTCGGTGAGAGAGACTTTTCCAGGAGCCACGATCCCCTGTGACCCAGGAGGGGAATGAGGCACACCAGGTGTGTGGTCCTCACCACTTCCAAGGTCTTGAGGTGACACGTGCCCTGGGAGACCGCGGCGGAGCACTTACCGCCACTCAGAAGAGTGATACACAGCATTCTGCAGCCTGGCCCAGAGGCTCAGGCTTACGAAGAGTCAGCTAGTGAGCCTGGGAACACAGGGCATTTTCCTTCTTGCCCAAGTCTGGATTCTAGAGAATTCACATCCTCCAAACCCCCTTCCCCACCCCTGGTTTTCCACGGAAGCTGCTTGGGTGACCCATTCTCCTCAGGAAAACTGAAAACAGTGATAGCCACAGCTGGAGCAGATGCGTGTCTCCATCCCTGGCTAGCAATGGACCGACTTACCTGGGACATCAATTAGTCTCTTGTACACAGTCAGAAAGGCTGCCTCTGCTTCCTTGCTCCTCTTACTCAGTGCATCAATCTGAAAGGGAAAGAGACAGAGAGAGAAAGACCTCAAAATGTGTTCAGAGCTCATTGGTTTTCTTTCCTTCTTTTTAAAAGAGTCTTACTATACAGCTCGAGGTGGCCTAACCCTGTTGCCTCAGCCTCCTAGCACACATATCTGCTTATGCTCTAGTTGTGGGACAAAATTAAGATCCCATGGATGAGGCTCTAACAAGTCACAAACATGGGGGAGTTCGGCAGGGAGAGAGCCCAGACACAAACATGGGACGCACGGGCACTGACACTGGATGGCGAGTGGGGTCAGAATCTAAGAGGCCAACCCTGCACATGCAGGAGGATCGCATACAGCTGGCATACACCACAGAAGATGCCCAGGGGGAGGCTGGAGAGGAAGACCACTGGAACCTTCCTGTCCTCATTCCAAAGGACAACGTGAAAGGCACTGGGAACTGACCAATGGGAAAAACTGGAGCATGCTGCGTCGGTGTGAGGCATAAAAAGGCTAAGCCAAGGGCAGCACTGGGGTTCCCAGCAGGCACTGGGGGTGTCTGTCGCTGGCGTCCTCATCAGCTGTCCCAGCTGAGCTTATTTCCCTCAGCTGAGGCCCACATATCACAGAGTGGTGAAGAAGAGAACTGCAGATAGCTGGACACTCATCCAAGAGGCTTCCATGGCCAGGCCACCCCGTTGGGCTAGCTGCCTCCCACCACACAACTGCCAAGGCAAGAGATGGCTCTTGCTCCTGAGGCAGCACGACATCACTCCATCCGTCCGGCTCAGGAAGGCCTGGAATGAGTTTCCTGCCAGCCTTGCTCAGGATCACTCTCCTGTGCTATTAAAGAGGCAAAAGATGGGTCTTAATTACAGGGCCTCTCGCCTGGGCCAGGCAACAGTCTGTTGAGGGCTGAGAGAGGAGGGTGAACTGCCAAGAGGGAGGTTACAGGCTCCAGGACTCAGGAGAGCGAACACAGGACAGGCAGAGACACTGCTAACACCGTCAGCATCTAACAGCTCCCGTGCCAAGGTCAACATCTCAAGTCACTTGTTTAAAATTCAGATTTTATTCTTCCTTCATAAAATAAAACTGCGCGTGCACACGTGCACGAGTGTACTGTATATGCTGGCCCATCGCTCCAGGGTCTCCTGTAGTCCATGCTGGCCCTGAACTTACGAGATAGCTGTAAATGAACTGGAACCCATGATCCTTCTGCCCGCTGCCGTGCTTGGCTTGCCTCTAGGATGGACTTCCTACACAGCTAGCCTTTGCATGGGTCCCGGGTTGGCCCCAGAAACCATCTCTGCACCCACCTAGGGAGGGGCCTGTATTTCCCAGGTCTTGCCCGAAGCAGACCAGGTCCAGGACGATGTCCTCCCGAGCAGCCCAGATCCCTGTCAGCTCTCTGCATGCCTCAGCAGGGCATGGGGATTGTAATTCTGCAGCCACTTGGGAGGCAGGTGGATCTCTGTGAGTTTGAGGCCAAAGTGATCTACAAAGGGAGTTCTAGGCTGTCACACAGAGAAACCCTGTCTTGACATTACCCCACAAAAAACCCACCCCAAATCAACCAAACAACAAACAAAAGACTCTGACTCCTCCCCAGGCACTCATGCTGCCTTACTCAGAAGTCAGCCCTGTGGACCTGAGTCCAGCTGGACTTTATAAAAAGGGAGAACTCGGGGCCTGGGAGATGGCAAAGTTGCATCTTGAGTTTGATTTCCAGAACCTACGTAAAAAGCAGTGTTGCAGGCTTATTATCCCAGCACTGGGGAAGCTGAGGCAGGAGGATCCCTGGGACTTACTGGCCAGCCTAGCCTGTTTGCTGAGTACCACATCAGGGAGAATCTCAAAAGAAAAGGGTAGATGGGGCCTGAGAAACAACTCTCTGGACTGTCGTCTGGCACCCACACACGCATACACCATAGAAACACACCCTTCTCAGGCAAACACACCCATACACACACCACATGAACACACCCATCTCAGGCAGACACACCCATACACACACACTAAAAAGGGGGGCATGGACATGAGAGATGGCTCTTTTGTTCCCTATTAAAGGCAGATAACCCACCAAGAGCCAACAGTCCATAGGCCTCTCCCAGGTTTTGATGTCCCCCGACTCTAGACCAGCACTGCCCTCCTCTTTGTGCAAATCAGCTAACTGCATCAGATGTGAGGTCAGGTCCCACCAATGAAACGGCCACTGTCCCGTTTAGACTAAAACCTAAGTGATCTTCCCTCCCTGTGCAGCCTGGTTTGAGTCATGGCCCACCCTTGCCAGGTTACTTTCGCCTTGCTCATGTGTTTCTTTCTGGGACACTGAGAGTGGACACACATGTACACACTCACACCCTGACAGACTGGGGTGCTGCCTCCACACAGAAATGTCATTCACTACTTCTTATTCTCCAAAAGCCAGCCCTGTTCACACAGTCACCTCTCCTTTAATCTCAGGTCCACAAGGCACGTGTTTCTAGTGTTTAAACCAGTCTGACAGCACCAGGAAATGAATTCTGAGTCAGGGGCTCTGAACTCTCCTTCCACAAATGTCAGCAAGTTCAAATACAGTCCCAAGATGACAAGGGTTGGCAGTGGGTCTAAGTCACCCATGAAGCTCCCTCCCTCCCTAGCTCCCTCCCTCTGTCCCTCTTTCCTTCTCTTCTCCCTCTGTCCCTCTCTCCTTTCCTCTTCCTTCTCCTCCCCCCTCTTCCTCCCTCCCAGGACAAGGTCTTTAAGTTCACTATGCAGACAGGGATGGCCTGACATCCACAGGTAGGTGCTCCCATGTCCAGTTGTTTCAGTGCCATGACTTCACACTTGGCAAATGCTCTACCCAACCAGGCCACACCCCTAGTCCATGAGGTTTAAGAGAGGCTGATTCTCTAGTCGAGGGCACCACTGTCCTAGCAAGCCTTCCCAAGCTGTCTGGAATAACCAGCACATCCTGAGAGTTCTGACAGCCTGCCTCTCTGTGACCCGCCTTTCCTGCCTCCTCCCCACGGCCACTGTCCTGAAACATGCAGGAGTCCCCAGCTCATCGTCCCTGTGGTGGCTGAGCAGGCTGGGAGCAGGCACCAGGACTTAGGGGCTGGCTGCTTGATCAGAATTGCCAGCAGCCAGGCAACAGACTTCACCTGCCAGGGCTGAGCAAGCAAGTGAGCTAACACAGCGCCCAACCCCGAGAACGCTCAAGTGACCCTGACTCTGTTCACTGTAAGAGCAGGCCTCAGGTGTCTATGAAGGGAATGGTCCTCTCCTCTGGAGCCTTCATTGTTCAAAAAGGGAGGCAGAAAGAAACCCATCTCATTCTTCTCTGCCTGTCACTCTGTGCCTGGGCAGTGGCACACAGAGGCATGGCAGCTCCTTGGGTGAGGTCTGAAGGCAGAGTGTGGAATCAGGTTCCAAGGTTATACCTAACGGCTCCTTCACGTACCCATGAGATTGATGTGGCGATTCTATCTACTGTTCCCACAGCCTAACGGCAAAACGAACAAGAGGACAGGACAGAGATGGCACTATGGTGGCAGGACTAGGTCACACAAGTCCTCGACACCTGCAAAATCTGTCCGGCGGCTTCCCGTTCTGTTTGGGCTCACCTCCCCCTCCAGCCACACCCGGTCACTCCCTGTTCCCGGGAGTACCAAGCAATTTCCACTCAGCCTGGAAGGCGCCTCATTGGAATGTTCTACTGATCCTTGGGGCTGGGCTCAGATCTACCTGTAAATTGAGGCCACTCCCACCAGCACAGGGGATCAGACTATCCCCAGAGCCAGGACTTACAGGCCAGACTCTCCTCCTCCAGAAATCTAAAAGGACCCCTTTCTGCAGCTACTATATTCCTTCTGAGAATGGAAAGATCTTTCGGAAGCTGGTTAGTATGGGAAGGGCTGTGGTATACACACCTGTTTTTTGGGGATAAGGTGTAATGACAGCCTCACACTGTCCACAGCCACTGGAAACAGTTTCTCCCCACTCAAAGAAAAGAAAGATCTGGGCATCTTTCTACAAGGAGCCACCCCACCCTCCTCAAGCAACATGACCAGAGGCTTCCACTATACATTTCTTCCTCTTGTGTTCTTATTTTGAGTCAGGGCCTCATGTAGCCCAGGCTGACCTTGAATTTCACAAGTAGCCAAGTACGATCTTGGAGTTTTGATCCTCCTGCCTCCATTACAGGAGTACTGAGATCACAGGTCTGCACTTCCTTACCCGGTTTATGTGGTGCTGGTGACGGCTTGGTGCATGCTAGGCAAACACTGTACTCACTGAGCTTCAGGCCTAGGCTGCTACTGTACTTGACAGTTCCGAGTCTGTGTTGAATACTGTGCTGTGCTGGGACAAAAGGTCAAAGAAATACACTGTTCCAGAGTAACTGGGCTGGTAATTCCTGTATGGCACTGGCTTAAATTAGAAAGCTCTGATTCTTTTATTCCAAAGTTGACAGTGCAGCTGAAGTTCCAAATCTTATATGCAGATAACAAGTTAATTTTTATATGAAAGACTGTCTGAGCAGGGTTTTGTATTAGCAGCGAAAACAGCTTTTCCATGGCCCTGGGCATGGTGGCAGAGCTCTCCATCCCCAAGCCTGGGAGGCGGAGGCAGAGGAACAGGAGTTCAAAACCATTCCAGTCTACACTAGGAATTGAAAATCAGCCTGGGCTACAAGAGAAAAGTCTCTCTCTTTCTTTTCTTAAACATTTTGTTTATTGAATGTGGAGGTCAGAGAATAGTAGGCAGGAGTCAGCTCTCTCCCTCCACTATGTGGGTTGTGGGAATCAAATTCAGGTCATTAGGTTTGCTGCCAAGTGCCACTACCATCTGAGCCACCTTGCCAGACCAAATCATTTATTTTTTGGATGTGGAAAGTGTGTTTTAGTAAAAATCTGAAAGAAGATGTTGCCATGAAGAATGAATGTAAGAGTGAGGCCACAGCAGAGGTGTGGGCAGACACCACAGAAAGAGCAGTACAGATCATCAAACTGATAGCTGGGAGGGCAGCTGTCTGCCTCACTAGT